TAGAGTGCAATACTGCAGGCTAATTCTGCTGAATGCCAGGTGCTGCAATTTGGCAGTTCAAATTTCACCAGTCTCAAGGTTGACTTAGCCTTCCATCCTTTTTTTTTAGCATTTTAGGTTTTTTATTCACAAAAACCTAACCTCTGTTCTTATTGAGAGCCTTCCATCCTTCTGAGGTGGGTAAAATGAGGACCCATATTGTTGGAGGCAATATGCTGACTCTGCAAACCGCTTATAGAGGGCTCTAAAGCACTGTAAAGCAGTATGTAAGTCTAAGTGCTATTGCTATATTATAAAGATGGAGCCTTCTCCTCTTTCCATTTACTGCACTTTCAATCCCCAAAATAAAGGCCATGCATGACTTTCTTAAATAAATAACTTGGCAACATGCCTCAGAAAAGCCCAGTGATTATTATTCTCCCTTGCAAAGATCCTGTTCCAGTTAGCATGATGAATGGGACAACTGGAACTGCAGTTTCAGCAAATTTGGAAAGTACTAATAAGATTAGGCTGAATTAGAGTATGGTCACAAATAAGCTCCTAAGTGAAAGGGAGAAAATATTAGTCTTTTAGAGTTCTAGAGTTCCCAGTTCCAAGTTGTCAGGCCTGCAGCCCGTTCCTTTTGGGATCTTTGGCCTGCCACACTAATATTCTATTATACTATGCTGTTTCATTAGTGGGGAATTGGGAGGGTGAATAGTAAGGAGTAGAATGTGCTGTTGTCAAAATAAAATTCCTTTCTAGAAGCCAAGGTCATCTTTTGTCTCTACACCTGACTGGAACTGGATGGGTGGAACTGCCAGCATGGCAGTGGAAAATTGGACCATGTGATGGACTTGTGGGTGTAGGGGCAAGATCATGAACTTTCAACTGGGTGGGGAAACCCCAGGAAGCTCAGATTCGGGTTTCCACAGATGTGCTAACATGACTCTCTTAATAAATTGGAACTTTGAGCAATACTTTGCCTTGGACTCTGATTTAATTTTGGATGTTATTTGGAACCCGGACACAAGTACAGTCTTGTTTTCATAAAACCAATTCCTATTTTTTTCCTCATAGAATTGGAACTGATGTTTGATATTCTCCAATAAAAATATATATAAGCTGATAGAAGCCCTTTTTAAAGAGCTAAATAGAAATGTTGATCAATGTTGTTTTTTTGTTTTTTTTGCAGAATAGTAATTATTGCACAATCAGTAATGGCCATAAGAAATCTGAGCTATTATAAAAGTTCTGTGACTCAGAGGTTGCCTTACACATTGAAAATACCACTAAAGAATCAGGAAAATAATGAACCTAATAAAATTATTAGATCTAACTTTATATAACATACATGGTTGTTAAGGAAATAAAATGTGTTATATTTTGAAACTGTAACGTCTGTAATATCTTCTCTTAAAACAATTGGCTTTAAGTTAAAGCTTAAATCTTAGAAAACTCAGATTTCTAATTTTGCTAAGTAATCACTCATTAAAGAGTTAGTAGAATATTACCTACATTTTATATGTTGCTGATAGATCAATTTATTTATTTAAATATAACAGAACCTATTAAGAAAATATAGTATAGGTAGTTCTTGACTTATGACAATTGAGCCCAAAATTTTGGTTGTTAAAGAAGAAAGTTGTTCAGTGATTTTGCCCCATTTTACCATCTTTTTGCCAAAGTTGCTAAGTGAATCACTGCAATTGTTAAGTTAGCAACATGGTCATTAAGTGAATCTGGCTTCCCCATTGACTTTGTGAGAAGGTCACAAAAGATGATCACATGACCCTAGAACACAGCAATCATCATAAATACGAGACAGCTGCAAAGCATTCATAGTTTAATCACATGATCATGAAGATGCTGCAATTGTCATAAACAGTCATAAGACACTTTTTTCAGCACTTTGTAACTTTGTAACTTTGAATAATCACTAAACAAATGACTGTAAGTCAAGGACAACCTGTAGCTGGATTCAAAGAATGTGATTTCTCTTTATTGCCTATAATCTCTTAGTTTGAATTTATTACATTGCACTGATCAACAAGTGTTAACAGGACACCAGTTGCATACTAAACTAGAGCTAGTTCTATCCAATGTATGTTCTATCCAAAAGATGTAGAACAGATCTTTAATCCTTACTACTGAGCGGAAACAGGAAATTTTATCACATGAATTCCCTTGGATAAATTACTTTAGCAGAGAAAGTTCATAAAAAATCCCATTCTTTGGTTTCTATTGCACTCTGGTTCTGCTGGGAATATATGTAGTCCAAAGATATATTTTCAACAAAGGATAGTAACAACAACACACACACACATACACTTTTTTTGCTAATATATCTTAAGTCAAGTCACAACAGAGATTGTTACAGGTATGCATATTAAGAAAATAATCTGTTATTTTATGCTGAACATGCTTCAAAAGAGGCGAGAACAGTAGAGGGAATTTAAAGAATACAAGATACTTGGAAGAACTTTTATTGTTGTAAGACTGAATCTGACTTAGTCACTGGGACCAGAGATTTATTCTTCAAAACTTTCAGACTCATGTTGGAGCCCATCTTCAGGGAACTTCTCTCACTGGAATATGTGCTTTGGGCTATTCGGTGAGTCATATTTATGTTATGCCTTCCTAATGGCTGATTGGTGTATTGATGGTTGGTGGGTTGACACCAGTGATGTGCAGTGAGGTTTATGGCTGGTGAGGCAGTTGGAGTAAACAGTAACAGAGTTGGAAGGGACTTTGGAGGTCATCTAGTCCAACCCCGTTCAATCAAGAGACCTGGAAGACCTCCAAGATCCTTTCCAACTCTGTTATTCTATTCTAAATCCTGGATGCTGCCCTCTTCCTCCCCCCCCCCCACCATCTGCTTTACCTCTTGAGCAATTCACTCGTCGGGTGTTTCTTCTCTTTCTCCAGTTGAATGTAGTTTTTCCCCCTCTTTTTTTCAACACCCCAATCACTTTTGGGGAGAAAACAAACTTTTATAAAGGAGTTAAGTTCCACCCATCCCCAAAACCAACTGCATCTTGGGAATTCCTAAAAAGGACAACTACTACCCATCAGGAAGAAGAGAGGTGAATTTTAAAAAGCTTGGGAGCACGTACAGGAACTTGATGGGAGACAGAACTTTTAAGGGGCCGCCAATCCAGATTAAGGCATCCAACACACACACACACACACACAGATCCAAACAGACCTGGGAAGAATCTCTACTTCTTCTTTCTCTGTGTTTTAAAGGCGGCTTTTCCCCTTGCTTTCCGCTTCCTATCATGTGACCGAAGCCCTACCAGGAGACTGGCAAGGGTAGACCCAACTATCAGCTGTTGGAGCGGATGGATGAATGAAAGATAGGGAGCCTGAAATACTAAAGGCTGCATGTAAAGGGCAGCAAAAGAATACAGTACCAGCCTGAGAGGCTGAGCTCGCTGCTGCCTCACTGGATGACTCTGCTTAACTGTTTAAAAAAAACCTCTAAAAAGCGCAGAGTCTTAAAAGCCTAAAAAGTCAGACTAGGTGAGGCATGCAGTTCTCCTGCCTCACAATAGAGGGCGCTTTTAAGAGGCTTTTTTAAACAGTTAAGCAGTCATCCACGGTAACCTCAGCCTCACCTCAGCTCTCGCCTGAGGGGCTGAGCTCGCTACAGCCTCACCGCAAGCTCTCGCCTGACTAGTTGAACGGTAAATTTATTTCTTCCTTTTACATTTTTTTTCTTTTCATGATGAGAGGTAAGGCTGTGCCTCACTTGCTTCACCTGACTGCACATCACTGGTTGATACCAATCAGCTGATAGGAAGGCACCACATAAACACAAATAGCCAGAATAGCCCAAAGTACATATTCCAATGAGAGAAGTTCCTTGAAGATGAGCTCCAGCATAAGTCTGAAATCTCGAAGAGTAAATCTCTGGTCCCGGTGATAAACCAAGATGTAATCTTGCAACTTTCATTATCTTTGAAAAATCAAAACAGATATTCCACAAATATTTCTTTGACCTATTAAAGGCATACAAAGAAAGATCTTGAATCTTCATCTTGTTCTTTTGCATTTTCAGTATAATTTCATGCTTCCTACATCATTTTCTTTCACTGAGACTCAGGCTAAGCAAGATGGCCATCCTGATTACTTTACCACTTTTATTTAGGCAAGCAAATACCATATCATTTAAATTACAAGAGAAAAAATAAAGCTAATGCTGTGTAAGAAAAGCACCATGCACAGCTCCCCATCACAAATAGTATGAAAATTGCATCATTTCTGCTTTCTGATATAATTGATGGTTCCCTTCTTATCTAATGCAGGTTAACCTGTGGCCCTCAGTTCACATCATGCAGTTCCCAAACTTTATATAAAACATTATCTAAATTTGGCAGAGAAGCTGAGAGCCAGCAAAGGGATTCTTTTCTTTTTCTGCATCTTGGAAAATCCCTTCTTGAAAGAGTTGGATTGTCTGCAATTGTCTCTATGAAGTAATTATGTTTGCATTTCTGATTCTGCCATATAATATGGCAAAAATTTGAAAGTGAATTAAAGCCAGGATATTTGTTGAGCAAAATCAGCCAAGAATAACCAAAAGCAGAATTGAGTCATGTCATTGTCTTTCAGGATACCTTCTTTGGTATAAAAGAATGCACTAGCCTTTTGAGGGGATCCAAAATGTTTTTAGCTTTTTTTAGTTCAGCTACATTCTACATTTTCAGGTAGAGACAAACTTTTTCTTTCTTTCTTATGGAAAGAGGAGCATAAGATGATGCAGATTGTGAAGATATTCCTTTATCTCAGAACCCCTAAAATACTTTAAATAACCATACAGAAAACTTCCACATTTTAAAAAACACAACCTTGCATTTTTTCATGTACTGAGTGATACTTATTTTTAGCTTTCTTATTGTTTCAGAAAAAGAAAGCTGAATGCATTCCACATCTATTTTCATCAAGGGATAATCTCCAGCCTAATTTAGGGTAAGTGGAAATATAAAAGTATATATAACATGAGCCAAACATGTACCAACCTTCACAAAAGCCAAGTAGCTTGTGCATTGTTTCTGCATATAGGAAAGCTGCATTTGTTCTGTGATCTGGCCCATTGCTTCTCCAGAAGAGATGAAGTAAACCCTGATTGGGTATCCTTTTTCTTTCTTTGCCACATCAGACGTCAAATTATAATTCAAATCTAGACAAAAAAAATCATAACAAAGATTGTTTTCTGCTATTAACATATCATAGGTTTTTCACAATCACTATTGTGATTTAGGATTATTATAAAACCTCAGTATATTTTGAAGTGGGTCACTTTTGTACTATGTTCACCTTTATGTCCTAGTAACAAACCCCAATTTCAAAAGAACATTTGCAAATTTGGATAAATGCAACATTCTAGAGCAAACCAGCACAACCGTAAATGCAGTTAATCAGCCATATAAGAGGTCCTCCTTGGTATCTTCAGATTCCTATAGATAATAAGAACTGAGAAATACAAGTTTTATTCGACTAACTCGATATTAACTTCTATGGGCTCATTGAAAAGAAGGGAGGGAGGGAGGGAGAGAGAGAGAGAAAGAGAGACTATAATTTCTCTACACATTAGTGGTACAGCCTAAACAAATATCATCTAGATATTTTTTTCCACAAGATATCTTAAATGCTCAATGTCACTGACATCACCTCCAGACACATCAGCAAAGCTGATACAGAGAACACAATTTAATATGAACGAAATTTCTAGAGTTTCCTACATTTCCAAAGTAACTGAAATGAATAACAAATTCTAGCCCTTCACTAGCAGAGTTTCATTACGATCAACATCTTAAAGGGAAACTCGAAAGTTCCAATAGTAATGTAATAGTAATGGCTGCCAGACAGAGTCCTCCGGACAGAGAGTCTTCCAGCAGAGTCTTCCAGCAGCCAGCCCACAACCATAGAGTGCACTCCTAGAGCGTCCGCTGTTGGAAGACTCGGCAGCCGAGTTTGGGAATTTGGAAGCCAGAGAAGAAGTTATGTTCAGAGTGCGGCGGCGGCTGCTGCAGGGAGAGCTGGCCCAGGGCATGTTGAGGCTGGGAGGCATGTTTGCTGGGAGCAGAACAGGTGCTCACGCAAGCCCCCTCTCCAGCTGGGCAGAGCTCAATGCACTGACCTAGGGGGTATCCCTAATGTGCCAAGCCGCGGGAGCTGGGGGATGGGCAGAGCGCCACGTGGCTTGGCGCCTTAGGGATACCCCCTAGGTCAGTGAATGGTGCTCTGCCCGGCTGGAGAGGGGGTTTGCCGAGTAGCTGCACATGAGCGTGGTCACCTCATGGCCGCTTGATCCTAAGGCTGTGCCCGGCTCTTTGGGAGCCTCTCGCAAGGGAGCAGCCGCCCAGCAACTCCCCCCTCT